CCCCAGGTCTCACTGTCATTGCCCACGTGAGCGTTGAAGTCTCCCTGCAGAACAAGGGAGTCCCCAGGAGGGGCACCCTCCAGCACACTCTCTAAGAACTCCAAAAAGGGTGGGTAATCTGAACTGTTGTTCGGCTCTAAGCACAGACAACAGTCAGAACCCGTCCCCCCACCCTTAGGCGGAGGGAGGCTACCCTCTTGTTCACCGGGGTAAACCCCAACGTACAGGCGCCAAGATGGGGGGCAACAAGTATGCCCACTCCTGCCCGGCGCCTCTCACCGCAGGCAACTCCAGAGTGGAAGTACGTCCWGCCCCTCTCAAGGAGACTGGTTCCAGAACCAGAGCCATGCGTCGAGGTGAGGCCGACTATTTCTAGCCGAAACCTCTCAGCCTCGCACACKWGCTCYRGYTCCTTCCCCACCAGAGAAGTGACGTTCCACGTCCCAAGAGCCAGCTTCTGTAGCCGAGGATCAGACCGCCAGGGTCCCCTCCTTCGGCCACCACCCATTTCACAATGCACCAGACCCCTTTGGCCTCTCCTACGGGTGGTGAGTCCATTGGAAGGGGGACCCACGTCTCCTCTTCGGGCTGAGCCYGGCCGGGCTCCGTGGGTGAAAGCCCGGCCACCAGGCGCTCACCATCAAATATAAAGAAGAAATGAAAAGTTTGTTTTCAAACTCAGCTCTGAGTCTGATAGAAACATTTCAATGATCTATAATTGTGTCTTTAAGGTTATCAGAAATGTGACAAAGTAATAAACAATAACACACAAGTTATTTCCCTTCTCAGGCCGATTGTTTCCACTGAGATTCTTCATGTGTACTCTGTCAAACATGCTTACTTAATCAAATGTGTATAAACTATATTTAATGTAATGTCATTTATTTGATCACAGTTAGAATTTGTTGGTCAACGTGTACCTGAAGTTTGGATCTTGTTGAAGGGGTGATGAAAGCAGGATCATCTCTTGTATTTCTGCTTCACTTGTCCTGAATGTTGCTGCCTCTCCTCAGAGAAGCAGCAGGGAATCTGCAGGCAGACATGAACAGGATGCTGAGAACGGTCACCTGATCTACAGAAGAGGAGACGTCCTGCAGGACAGGTGTAAGTGAAGAACGAGCTGCTGATGCAGACGGTCCAGCTTTGTTTCATCTGACAACTGATTTTTTTTAATAGAACATGTAGAACAAACTTGAACATCACAGGTAGTTCCATCTGAGTATTGAAATCACATTCTGCTTCATTTGTCTTAGCAGTCTGATATTATTCAAAGCGTTGTACACAATCCATGTTTCCCAGCTTTCAGTCCAGGTGTCTAGTTTGAGTCTTATATGGAGCTAAATTGGGGTCATAACTTTTGTTCAAAATAAAAAAAAATTTTTTGAAACTGAAAAAAAAATTGAAACTGAAAAACAATGCATTACAATCTGGAAAGGTTTCACACATCTTGTCTTTTCAATTTCAAATATTTTTTTTCAGTTTCAAATAGTTTTGTCAGTTTCAAAATTATTTTTCATTTTCATATCTCCTTTTTTCAGTTTCAAAATTGTTTTTGTATTTTGAACAAAAGTTATGACCCCAATTTAGCTCCATAGTCTTAAGGCAAAAGTCATTTGTTCCACAGCAGAGATTTCTTTCACAAAACTACGCCAGAGATGCAGCGTCGTGGGCTCTTCTTTATGCCAGCTGCAAGTTATCACTTTCCTACTGCAGGCTGGGAGAATCTTCAACAAGTACTTCTGTTTCTGTGGTATCAAGTCAGACATTTACCCAGGTATAGAGCTGTGAAAGAGTATTCTAGATTCAGTCCCATTATTTCATTTATTTCATTGGTTACTTCCTTCCAAAAACAATGGATCTTTGAACAATCCCAAAAAACATGAAAATGGCTGTAGAGACTCCACACTGCCTGCTGTTATTTTCGGGGACTTAAAAAAACTAACAATGGGCCTCATGTAAGAACCGTTGGTACGCACAGATTTATTCTTAAATTGTGTGTACGAGTGATTTAGGAGAATTTGTGGCATTCACCAATGTTTTCATATTCTAAGATTTTTTTCAGATTTGAACAAAATTCAGGAGTGGTCCAGACCTGTCGTATATTTTACCAGC